GCAGCAAGGGCTATGAGCCAGCCGTGTTTGAATTCCTGATTTTCAAATTTGGAGACTTCGTCTACATATTCAGCAAGGGCAGCACTTTTCCCGGCCTCTATTGCCTTAGAAGCCTCCGAGTCAGCCGCTTCCTTCACCTTCTTTACTTCCTCCAACTTAGCCTCCAGTTTGGAGACCGCCTCCTAGGCCAATTTCAGCGCCCCCTCGCTCGCATCCGCCCCCCTCTCGGCAGCTAATCTCTGTTCCTCTGCATTCCATGCCCTCTCTATCTTAGCTTCGGCCCACTCGCCTTCCATCTTCGCCCTTAAAGCCTCAAACTCGGCCCTGCTCCTTTGGCCCTCAACTTCTGTTTGAAGACGGTCGAGCTGCTCGATGGCGTCATGATGGCGACGGCCTATCTCCGCTATCCTTCTAACGGCCTGCAAAATAGGAAGTTAAGACCAAAATAGTATTTGCATAAAGTGAAAAGACAAAGTCAAGATTTATACCAAAAATGTCGATTGCACGGCCAATGCTATTGAAACCAGATCCGGCTCTGCCCGAAAAGCCACCTTGTCAGCCAGCAGTGAAACGGATATAGCCATGCTAAGCGCGACTGCTGGATCTTTAGTTACCGAAGCATCAGAAGGGATCGGCGTGTTTTTTATCTTTGGTTGAATAACGAAAGGCACGATCACATCTGATTCCTCTAAACGAGGTCATTTGTCGGCACGGTTATTTTCTGAGTCGGCCTCAACCTCGGTAGAGCGCTTCCCTGACCTTAGTTTGGCCTCTCGATCGGCCTGCACAACCAACTCGGCCTCGGCACTTTAGTTTTCTACCGTCCCCTCTTCAATAACAGGCAAGGAGGGCTGAAATTCGCTAACAGGCACGGAGGGCTGAGTTTCGATAGCAGGAGGCACTCCGGTTCGAATAGCCTCTGCCCTTCGTCATGCTACCATCCTTTCTACGTTCGCCTTTTTGGCAAGTTGTGTGAGGCTTAACCCAGCCATGTCTTCGGGAAAAGCACCAGGAAAGTCCTCCAGACCGTGAAAAATGTTGTCAAGTGGAAGGTCCTCTCAGCCCGAAGTGGACAGAGGGTCGGCTGAGTTGAGGCCGACTTCTTCAAAGGCTAACTACAAAGCCTCGTTGACCTTAGTTTCGGACTAATCGGACTCGGCAGCCTCAGTTACTTCTGGTCGTTCCAAATCAGACCCCTCGAGACCGACTTGCCTCAAATTCTTGAAATCGGTCAAGATAAGGGCGGTAAGAAACTCCTCACCCTTCGGAACTGGGATGTTCTCTGCCGCCGAGAAGGTCGTATAGGTCGGGTCGTAGTGGAGAAGAACGTGGGCCGCCCTCCCCTGTTTTTGAAGACTCGGCCAGCCAAAATATCTGAGCACAACCTTGATTTCTGAAAGAACGGCGTCGTTGGTTGAAGTCAGAACTTTCTTCAAATCGTTCCCTGCACAAGAGGCACTCCGGTTCGAATAGCCTCTGCCCTTCGTCATGCTACCATCCTTTCTACGTTCGCCTTTTTGGCAAGTTGTGTGAGGCTTAACCCAGCCATGTCTTCGGGAAAAGCACCAGGAAAGTCCTCCAGACCGTGAAAAATGTTGTCAAGTGGAAGGTCCTCTCAGCCCGAAGTGGACAGAGGGTCGGCTGAGTTGAGGCCGACTTCTTCAAAGGCTAACTACAAAGCCTCGTTGACCTTAGTTTCGGACTAATCGGACTCGGCAGCCTCAGTTACTTCTGGTCGTTCCAAATCAGACCCCTCGAGACCGACTTGCCTCAAATTCTTGAAATCAGTCAAGATAAGGGCGGTAAGAAACTCCTCACCCTTCTGAACTGGGATGTTCTCTGCCACCGAGAAGGTCGTATAGGTCGGGTCGTAGTGGAGAAGAACGTGGGCCGCCCTCCCCTATTTTTGAAGACTCGGCCAGCCAAAATATCTGAGTGCAACCTTGATTTCCGAAAGAACGGCCTCGTTGGTTGAAGTCAGGACTTTCTTCAAATCGTTCCCTGCACAAGCAAAGCCATGAGGTCTCAAAAGTGAAGCTTTATGAATATAACAAAAAATATATAAAAGAAGCTACATGGCCACCTGGTTCGCCCCTCCGTCTAGGAATAGGATTGAGGCGATCCTCGCCTTCGCCGAATTCCCAATTACCTTGGACAACGACCATAACATCATCAACTCGCTTCCCAGAGCTGGAAAGCATAGTCACTAGTTGATGGTCAATGTCCTTGGCCCTAAGGAAGTAACGTCCATGCCGACCAGAAGACTTGGCCAAGGCATAACAATGCCGAATAGCAAAAATGCCGAGGTTAATCCTAAGGTGACGGTTTAGTGCGATAATCGCCATTACGATTCTAAAAAAATTAACACTGGGTTGGGAAGGGATTAAACCCCAATAGCAGAGCACAGCCCTAAGGAGTGGATGAAGTGGGAATTGGACTCCACCCTCTACGATTGATAGGAGAAGGAAGATGATTGTGGATTCATCAGCCCTCTCCATATCGAGGGTGCTGTCTGTCACGAATGACAGACGGACGTCATCAGGAATGGAAAAATGATGTCGGAAACCAGAAATTCGATCCGAAGAGAGGAGATCTTTCAGGTGTTTCGCCATTTCCTGCAGTCTACACAAATGCTCGAAACCAAAAACAAACCAGGCAACAGGACTTAGAACAGAGAGGAAGAGAACTTAAGAGAGACGAAGAGGATAGTGAAGGAAAGGAAGTTGCAGAGATAACGCGGAAGACAGTCCAGCGGCAAGTACCTGAAAGCGTGTATATTTGAAAAGACGTCAAAATTTTAAATCATAATAAGTATGAGAGTACGAAGGGGCGGGAAGTTGAAATAATGACCGAGAAACGTGTGTTCAGACATCTGCATTGGAATCGGGTCAGCTGCCGAATTTCGGCTCTAACTTTTCGAGTTCGAAACCAAACATTCCAACCAACTATCATTAGTGGAATGTTTGGGGGGCAATTGTGGTGGCCGAATAATAGGGGTCGTAAATAGGCCTAGTATATGAACTTGGGGAACTGGAATATATGTATAGTATTCGGCTTCATCCCGCATCCAAATCCTACCCTATTCAGTCAAATAGCCGAATAAGGCCAGGGCTAGGTAAAAACCAATTTGCTACAAAGGAAGCCGAATGACGAACAGAAAGTGGGCCTAATCCCGAGGCCCAAGAGAGAAAGGATATAAATAGAAGAATATCAGCCAGTAAGAGGTATGTCAGAACTATTACACTTTACTTAAAACATAAGCAATTCAGAGATTAGAGACTGACTTGCCCATCGGAGTGCTAATTCTGGCACCCCCGACCGGAGTGTTTATTCCTTTTCAGGTGAATAGAAGAGGATCACTAGCGTCTCTCAGGATCAGAAGAGTATTTCCAAAACCACCTCTCCACAAAATCCATTCTATGTAGAAAACCACCATATTTTAGGAGTAACCTAATATCCAAATGGTTCACTTGTTCAAACAATGGTTAGGTGATTCCCCATCAGTTATATAAAATCCCAGTTTGGGACTTTTCTACCCTAATTGTTCTTTCCCCGATGAGAGAATATTTTGAGGAGTTGCATTTTGTCTTTATCTTAAATCTCTACAGTTTTTAATCCTCTTGTACTCCACTTCCTACATTTTCTCGAGTGACCCTTTCGCCCAGAGCTCTAATTCTTCAAATGAATTAACCAAAACCCACAACAAACCAAATGGTAAGTAGATTATAGTGCCCATTAAGTGATTCTCTGGCTGTGAACATCGAAAATTCCTTTACCCTAGTCTATTATTAGAATCTTACGATTCCCAATTCGATTCGCAATTTTTACAAATCAATACAAACCTATGAGTGAATCTATTTTGGAAGTGATTCTTTTGTGAATCGCACAATTTACAATTGATTCATGATTCAATTCACTTTTTACGATTCATGCAATTCTTGAAACTATCATGTCCAACATATTTCAATTCTTTTTTCTCTTTTTTTTTAGTTAAATGACATAATACAACTAATAGTGTTTAGTACGAAAATAACCAATATATTTACATGATTTGTTGTTATTTTGGGGATCAATGAGTTTTTAATAGGATCCAATTAGATTTAGTTAGACCCAACATGTTTTTAACCTTTTTTTTCTTAAAAAAAAATCATAATTTTTATTCTAAAGATGTTAAGGTTAAAGCAACTTGCAAGATGAATTATTTATTGTTATTTTATTGAAATAAATGTACTTCAATATTGTTTATTTGAGAGAAAACTAACTTAGAGCATGATTAGACAATCACCCCTTTTATATTGATAATAGGTAGCTTACAATGGAAACCTTGGAAGCATAAATAAGGAAATAACAACTAATAGCATAAGAAAGTCCTAAGGCACTAATTAAGAAATCAAAATATAATCTAAATAAGGAAACAAATAATAGAATGATCCTAACATATATTCTAACAATCCCCCTCAAGCTGGTGCAAAGATATTTCTCTTGCCCAGCTTGCCAAGAATATCATGAAATGGTTTACTGCCAACTCCCTTAGTGAGAATATCTGCAAGTTGTTCACCAGACTTCACAAATGGAGTACATATTGTGCCACTAATGAGCTTCTCTTTAATGAAATGATGATCAATCTCAACATCCGTGGTCATGTCATGTTGAACAGGATTGTGAGATATGTTGATGGCAGCCTTCTTATCATGAAATGGTTTACTGCCAACTCCCTTAGTGAGAATATCTTCACCAGACTTCACAAATAGAGTACATAATGTGCCACTAATGAGCTTCTCTTTGATGAAATGATGATCAATCTCAACATGCGTGGTCATGTCATGTTGAACAGGAATGTGAGCTATGTTGATGGCAGCCTTCTTATCATAATATAGCCGCATGGAGTCTTTTTGGTCAATTACCAGATCATGAAATAACAACTTGATCCACAAGAGCTTACACTCACCTTGTGCCATAGCTCTAAACTCAGCTTTCACACTAGACTTGGCAACCACATTCTATTTTTTACTTCTCCAAGTAACCAAATTGCCTCCAACAAAAGTATAATACCCTGAAGTGGACCTCCTATAAATTATTGATCCTGCCCAATCAGCATCCGTATAAGCTTCCACACCAAGACGATCATGTTTGGGAAAATAAAGACCCTTTTCCAGGAGAAGATTTCAAGTATTTCAAAATTCTCATAATTGTTGCCAAGTGTATTTCGTGAGGAGCATGCATAAACTAGCTAACCGCAGTAATGACAATAGCAATATCAAGATGAGAATGGGCTAAGTAAATAATCTTACCTAGTAGTCTCTGATAACTCCCCCTATCAACAATTGCTCCCACACTATCATCACAAAGTTTTAGATTAGGTTCTAGTGGTATGTCACAGGCTTTACTTCCAAGCATTCTTGTTTCCTTCAACAAGTCAAGGGCATATTTTCTGTGACAGATGAAAATCCCATCTTTGGACCTAGCTACTTCATTCCCCAGAAAGTATTTCAGGTTCCCCAAGTGTTTAATTTCAAACTCACTGGCCAAATATTTCTTCAACAAAAGGATTTCCTCAACATCATCTCTTGTAAGCATTATGTCATCCACATATACAATAAGAGTTGTTGTCTTACCATGAGAGGAATGTTTAACAAACAGAGTATGTTCAGCTTGATTTTGTTTGAAGCCATATTTTAGTATCGCCTGAGAATGTTGCATGCATGTCCATGTAATTGGATGTTGTGGAAAGAGAAGGGTTTTTTTTTTAATTTTTTTTATTTTAATACTTTCAATTTATTTAACAAAAAAAATTATCCACAATCTTTTGGTGCCAAAAGAAAAAAACCTAGGATGGGGATGCATTACTAACGTATCTTTATGACGTTCTTATTTTCCCTATTACCTACAAATTAAAATGGTACAATTAATTTAGTATTGTTCCATAGCATACTTTTTGAATGTGAATGTCCGCTTCTAACCAAATTCACTCATGTAAATCCTATGCCCCTTACAATGAGAAAACTGGGATGGAGATACATTACAAAATTATCTATATGATTGTCTTATTTTCCCTATTACCTACCAATTAAAATGAGATAATTAATTTAATATTGTACCCTAGCATACTTATTTTAAACAATTATTCATGGCATCGTCATGCCAAAAACCAATAACAAAGGCCACTTCATGTTATTTTCCCAATCAGTAGTTGAAGAAATTATTCATTACTTTTAAAATAATATTTAATTCTATTTATTAATTAATACTTTTTATGTTGTCTCTTAAAATTTTAATACAAAAGTGATGAATTTGTCAATTTCAGCCATAACTAATACTTTGAAATATCATATGAACTTTGTTTTAAAAGTACTGAGTATTTCAGACTTACTTTTTGCTAATGTATTTGTAGGGGTACCATACATGTGTAATGACGGGTTCCATAACCCCATGAAGCTATCAATAATAATAATAATAATAATAATAATAATAATAATAATAATAATAATAATAATAATTTAAATTAATAATATTTTATTTAATATAATTTAATTCTATTAAAAAATTGGGAGATTTATTAGAAAATCATTTTTCAAGTGTTTGTATCCCAATTAATCCATAAGATATTCTTGTATTCCAATAAATCGTATTATTTGAACATTTAATCTACCAAATCCTAATTCTCATATTTAAAGTATTTTGTGGACATTTCTACCCTTACAAATATTTTTTGAACGGTTAGCAATTTGGTAATGTAAAAATTCATATTTTACAATGTGAATATTCATATTGACGTGTGAGTGTTGACATTGATAGTGTGATTAACATGTTAACATTCACATTGATGGTGTTATGACTGCTGTGAATTAGAGCCAAAGTGATGTCCGATTTTGATTGTTTTTTCTTTCTTTTTACTAGGTAATTTACCATCATAGCTTCAGAAAGACCCGACATTCCCAAAGTTGTGTGGACTCCTTTCGGTAGGCTTTATAAAGCTCAAGACCTTATTAGTGGCCAGCTCGTGTTTGTCTCGTTTCTGATAGTCACTCGACGAAGAAGGAACAAACAGTCAGTAGCACCAGTACAAAACACTCTGCAAACACATATCTACTCTCGCTCAATTAGTTCACCAGCATCTAGCTCACCAAGATTAGCAATGGCACAGGATATAGCACAAAACGCGGAGGAATTTGCTACCATGATGATGGCTTTCCAAAGAACCATGGATACTGTAAACTAGAGGATGCTGCACAAGATGACATCATTGCCAACCTACGACGTACATCTAGGGCATCCGCATCAACCGTGCACCCTATCTTGGCTGCTCAGCCAAATCCTGATCTACTCCCACCAGTAGAAAATCTACCAGTCCTAGATCCTCAGGACATGTTCCCCCCAGCTCCAGCTTATCGGCCTCTGGTTCAACCTCCTGCAGGGATATTTCCTTTTGATGCCTTAGTCAAGATTGCTAGGTTGGAGAAAGCATTGAAGAAATCCCAGGGCTTCAACTCCATTCCAGATATCAAAGATGGGTACACTGAAGCTTCGGTCAGATTACTGGAGAAATTTAAGATGCCCCACATCGACAGATTCGATGGGAGTGGGGATCCAATTGTGCATGTATGGTTATTCTCGGATGTATTGAGGCCCATGGGTTTTTCTCGGGCGCAGAAGCTCTCATTGTTCGAGAGAACCCAGTCCGATGTGGCAGCCATCTGGTATGCTAAATTGGAGGACTCAATAAAGCGGAATTGGGAAGAGTTATCTAAAGTATTTGTCAATCAGTACTCATATAACACCCAGATGAACTAACCATTAGTGAGCTGGAGGCTACTACCCAGAACCCCAAAGAATCATTCATTGATTTTGTTGCCCAATAGAGAGCCAAGGTAGCCCGAATGACAAATAGGCCTACCAAAAGAGAACAAGTCTGACTAGTGGTCCAGAACCTTGAGTCAGACATGTTGCAAAGAATGATAATGGCACCATTATCCGCATTTGCTTCCTTACATGAGCTGGGGGTCTAGATTGAGAGTGCATTGAAAAAGGGTATCATCCACAGAGCAAGTGAACCCGCAAAAAGGTCGTTCTCTCGGAATACCAACGCTAGCAGTAGCACTATTCCACGGCCTACGGATGTCAGTACTGTTGTTTCAATGGCCAAGATGGTTGATCCTTTTACTACTGCCACAACCTCACAACCCTCATAAAGTACCGGTCCATCCCGAAATCAAATAGTTTTTACTCCCCTCCATATGAGCCCAACCCATGCCCTCAAACTATTAATGCAAAAGGGGCATCTCAAGCCTATTGATCCTCCTCCACTTCCAAACTTATTGCCATCCAAACATGACCCTACCCAGTATTGTATCTTCCATCAACAACATGGCCATCCCATAGACATGTGCTACCGTCTACGTTATGAGATCCAGGATCTCATTGACAATAAAATCATCACTCCACCCGCTAAACCAAACGTAATAACCAACCCACTGCCTCCACACAACCAAGTCCCCACGCCTAGAAACATTAACCGCGTCCATACACCACCGCCCACCTTCAATCCTAGTACATACATTACCTCATTCCATATACCAAAATCGGAGGAGGTCATTCTTGAAGGCACAGACATGTGCATGATGGATTTAACACCACAAACCCAATCCAGGCCCGTGGCAGTAGAAACAGAGACAGAGAGAGAGAGAGAGAGAGAGAGAGAAAATGCACTGAAGACAGGGTTGTTTGATACCCGTGTCATAGAGAAGGGGGTCTCGCTCTCGGAAGAGTACGATCCCAGTTTATACATTATGGCCATCGATCAGCCGAAGTCGGTAGTCATACTGCCGGACTTTCTCAACATTAATGCTATTAGAGAAGACTAAATGGCGTAGAATCAGAATAAGTGGCCCGAGCAAGGCTTGAATAACTTAGCAAACCTAGAGGAGGGTCTAGCAGAATTGGAAGAGGATCTGGAGGATCTTTACTTCTTCAAGGAAGAAGATACAAGCTGTGTTCAAGTGGGATGGTGGGACCTGAGCCAGCCAGAAACAAGCAATGGATGGTTGAGTGAGAAGGAGACAGATGTGGAGGAGCAGATAGGAAAGCTGTGACAGAAGAGGAAATTATTATTAAAGGCAAGGCTAAGGATGCACCTCTGACTGAGAAAAAACGGGCACTGGACCAATTTCAAAGAGAAAGGATAGAAGAGATCCAGGCAAAGATAGCTCTGGAGCAGGGCAAAGGAAAAGGGAAAGAAGAACCTGAAACAATGGTAAGTGATGCCCAAACTACTAGAAAAGTAGAATGGGACCCCAGCGACCGGAAAATGATGTTGAGGAAGCTCAGAAAATATCAAGATTTAGAAATTGAAGAGGAAGAATGGTATGATGATGGGGCACGTGATGTCAACATGCTCTAGATAGAACCTGATGCCAGCCCGGCCATGATTGCGGGAGGGTAGTGAGAAGACACCAACATAAGTCATTCATACACTGACAAAGGTTAGAAAGCTGATACCCCAAATGACACTTGGTATACCGACGAGATCAATCATATGACCCGAAGCGGTCGGTACTTCAAACCCGCAACATTAGATAAGCCAGAGACCTCTAACAAGGCGGCTGAGAGAGCAAAAGAGAAGGATGTTGAGCAAAACATGGTCTTAAAACAGCTCAAGAAGATTCAGGCTGACATATCAATCTGAGGACTGATAATGGCTTCTCGGGAGCATAGGCAAGCACTGTTGGAGGCAATGAACCAAATTAAACTGCCTATTGATACCACTACAGACCAATTGGTATCATTGGTAACATCTGGAGACGTTACGCCGGTGATATCTTTTATAGATAAGGAGTTACCACCTGAGGGCGCCAACCACAATCGTCCTTTATATGTAACCCTAGAAAGTCAAAAAAAGTGGATTCCGGTGGTGTTAGTAGATACCGGATCGGCGATCAATGTGTGTCCAGTGAGGATCACTTATGCCATCGGTTTGAGGCCGATTGAGTTTACACCCACGACCCAAGTCGTCCGGGCTTATGACAATACAAGCCGAGATGTTATGGGAACGTTTAGATAAGGAGTTACCACCTGAGGGCGCCAACCACAATCGTCCTTTATATGTAACCCTGGAAAGTCAAAAAAAGTGGATTCCGGTGGTGTTAGTAGATCCCGGATCGGCGATCAATGTGTGTCCAGTGAGGATCACTTATGCCATCGGTTTGAGGCCGATTGAGTTTACACCCACGACCCAAGTCGTCCGGGCTTATGACAATACAAGCCGAGATGTTATGGGAACGTTCAAAAGCCCTAATCGGTCTATCTGAACATGAAGTGGAATTCCATGTAATGGATGTACCGGCGACATTCAACTTACTACTAGGAAGGCCCTGGCTACATCAGATGAGTGTTGTGTCATCAACAGTCCATCAGTTAGTAAAATACCCCTTCAAATGTGAGATTGCCATTGTGTACGTTAATTCTGCGATCCATCCTCTCCAAGGAACCACTGCACCATTATTGAAAATCATACATGGCGAAAAAGACGTGTTCCTTTCTAGCTTCTCTTTAGTAGAAGCCCGGTTGGTCCAAACCATCAA